TGTTTCTGAAAGTTTTACTTTCAAATAAATTTTCTATAAAGATCAGAAAAAATGACCGATTGTTATTAAGAGAAATAAAGGACCATGGACAAACTTTTAAGTTTCATTTATTCATTCATTCATAATTTTAATTTATATTTGTCAGGTTCATTGAGACACCAGGTTTAATTTACAAGACTGACCTGTTCAAATATCATCCAAATAAAAAAGCTATTTGCTGCAAGCTAGTATTTAATTTCATGTCAAATATAGGTGAATCAATGGTTTTACCGGATCATTTTATAATGTTAAAACAGGTGCAACTGTAGATGTTTTTTTTGTTTGTTTGTTTTTTTAGATTAATAGACTATTCACAGTCCTATTAAAAGTGTGATTTTACAAAAGGTGATAGTGGCCTGTGGAAAAAAAGCACATTTCTTCTGAGGATTCTGATTTGTCCTTAAGTTGTTCTTGGCACAGCGCCCCCACAGGTTGGTTCAATTGGGACTATAATATGCGAAAACATCCTTAAGTTCTGCAGCAGGACAATGATTTGAAGCACATCAGAAAGTTCAGCCTCTGGATGGCTAAACTTCTCCCCTCCCCACATACAATAGCAACAAAAAAGAGCTATTACCTCTAATACTGTCCATATTTAACTGTTCAGATTTGCTTTAAAAAGACTAAATGTAGAAACCCAGTTGACGTTTGTTTACCCATTGGTGAACTTTGGTTGATTAGTTTTGAGTGTTAACCAGCAAACAGGAGCCCTGAAGGAAACTTCGGGTCAGGTGTAGAACCAGACCTCTCACTTTTCCCGTCTCTCTTCCACTCACCTGACATTTAATGCCACTGCCCTCCAATGAGATGTGCCTGTTTACCCCTGTAAGTTCACTGGTCATTACCAGGTTACGGTGTTTGACGGTCACCAGATACACATATCGAGTACAACGAAAGAAAACCAAGCCCCTGGAACATAATGAAGAAGAGAATTCAAACCGAGGATGATGAAGGAAATTAATTTCCTAACATGCATCACTTTACGCTTCATTCCAAGTCACAGAATCGGGTTTTAATCAGATTAATGTCTTGCCAGGGTACGCCGGAAGACATTAAACAAAACAAAAAGAAAAAATACAAAAAATTCCCTAAAATAATTGTCTCAAAAGGTTCAAACCATTTAGTCACCCTCTGTGGTCATTTCATTGGTTGCTTTTTTTCTGGTTTAAGGTTTGTGTCTTCTCTTTTAAACCTTTACCTTTGATTTCTGTGCTCATCTTTGAGCCTACCAAATGCTGTGGAGAGTGGGTCCTTTGTGAGTAAAAAGCCTCAGTGAAAGCATCTGCCCTCCTCACTGTGTGATGTGTGCTAATGCTGAACATACAGTCTCTCCTTCTCTGCAGTGTTTCCCCCCTCTTGCTGCAGACACCCTCACTCATACCTCTGCAGTCAGTCGCTCTATCTCTCAGCATCTCATGCGCTACTCTGGTTGTTCATCTTTCATTTTGTCTATTGCTGAATGTTTACCCGTTATTGCTGTATACTAGCTAAATTCAGCTTTTAAACCACAAATATGATGTAAGCTGCGGGAAGTATCTGTGCTTAGGACCACATAAACAATCACAAGTGTTGTCGCAATATCACTGTGTGCAGTTTTTGTATTGCAAGGAACCGCTTGAATACAATATTTGGAAGGACGTCATATTTCAAGTGACATGCATTCTGCCTGCCAATGATATATTTGAACTGTTAGATAAATTGCCATCCCCCTAATGCCCACAGTAGATGTGTACTTTTAGTGGGTGAGATGCTAAAGCAGTTGCAGGAACATGACGGCAATCTATATCGTCATACTCTGGTGAGTACAAAAATGGTACTCAAGGATTTTTCAGCTCTATGCTTTGTCCCCAAAGCCAGAGTAGACCATGGGGAATTAGCACATCCGGACTCTCTCTCGTTTTGCTCGCCCCATGACTCAAGGCTCTCATTCAACGACCTTCCACCAAACCCCAGGCCTGAAGGGACCATATATCCCTTCAGGTGCGGGGAAAGTCTTCGGATCCCGAGGCCTTAGGACCTCAAATTAGTCTGAGAGTGACGCAGTGCAGAGGGGTCAAGGTTTTCCTCTTGGCCTTGTACTACTCTACAACCTGATCTTGGATAAATAGAAATCAAGGAATAGCAATCTTCACAGCACAAGATTCACAGCTGGAAATAGCTAAAATCTGCGAATACTTGAAACCCCCTCTAAAAACACCTATAACTGCCTATTCCAATTGTTCAACTATAATTTACTGTGCACTAATACACAATGGAAACAGTCTTGGCACTACTGCAAAAACAGACATCTACAGGCTTCCTTATCTCTGCTCTCAGAGATTATAGCTCCTTGTGCTAGCAAGGTTGCATGGGTACTGGTCATTGGGTGAGATGGGAGCACACTCTGCACAGGTGGCCAGTCCATCCCAGAGCAACACAGAAACACACAAGACAAAGCAACCAGCACCACACTCACTCTCACCTCAGGGCAATGTATTTACATGGAAACATTTCTAAATAGATGATAAATTGCTTTGATGTTCTCTCAAAGCAGCCAGTGATATTCTTGGTGGGCGAACACAGAGCCAACAACTATGGCACTGTACTAGCCAGGTACCACTAAATCTATCAGAAATCACATCAATGTATACACATTGTTCTCCGCTAATCTCCAGCGACTGTTCAGTGATTGCATTCTCATTACCTACCTCATGTTGAGTCGTACCACTCACATGAACTCTATTTTCTTTTGTTAAATCATCTTCTGTGTTTAATTGGAGTCTCAAGCCTCTTTTCCAACAGCTCATATCTTCCTCTTGTCATTGCCTTCCTGCCATCTGACACACTGTTCACACTCCATGTCTAAGGACATTAGCTTCTCTCCTGATTGAACTTTGACCCTGGGTTGGCTGCTGACCCGATGGCCTGTTTGCACACATCGCATGCTCACAGTTCATATGAGTGCAGACAACCTTCCACACAAATCAACATGTCAGCACACGTGCGCTCATGCATGCTGAAGTCGCAGCACACGGCGTTGCGTGGAGCGAATTATTGGCAGGGGTGAAGTGACATGAAGCCTCTCTTCACCAACTCATTTGCGCTCTGCTGGAGAATTCGTTACGCATGGGCCGTTTGCCACATGCATTTTGAAGGGCGACAGGGCCGGAAGTAAGCTGGGAAAGACACATTCATCACACACACACTCACACATGTTCGGACACATGTTGACTTCCTTTTTTTTTAGGTTTACCATAAAATGCCATGTTGCGTAATGTCAATTTCTCCTCTTTCCCTCTTATGTCCCCGTTTCGTCTCTTCAGCGTCCCTCACCCTCTGACTCCGTTATATGCTCAGAGTGCTTTTCCATTATATCAAATTGCTCAAGGCGCTAAATAGGGGAATTAAAACAATTCAGACAAACGTGTGTTGAAGCTTCAACTGAAGTTTACATAAAAAATGCTCGAGTCCCAGATATTTGGTTAAGATCAGACACTTCATTTCTTTTGACTTGAATAAGGAAGTGTAAGGAAGAGGAAGTCTTTCACACAAAAACTGCTCACCCCTTCAGTTGTGGTGGCACATATGTTTGTTTGGTACCCAGAATGCCCCGTGCTATATTCCACTTCCTGCTTTTGGAACAGGCTGAGGTCCATTTGGCATTCACATACACATTAGAGTTCATTTGTATTGAACCGAGACCTGGGATTGTAGTTTGGCCAGAGTTTTTCTTTTTTTTTCTTTTCTGATCCACATCAGAGTTTGTGCGTTCACATCTCCCCAGACGAACCAGACTTTCTAGGCAAACAAACTAAAGTTTGATTAAAGCAAGAAAGGGCTAGTGTAAATGCATCTCAGAGTCAAAGTCCAACAATGGCATCAGTGAAAAATACACCAAGGTAAAGGGACTGAGAACATGAATATGTAAGAGCCTGAAAAGGGGACTAATTGAATAAATGAGCCACAGACAGTTTCTTTTCTATTCTCCAGCATGTATTGACTTATTGCAACTAACACGATAATTCCAAACTTTAAACGGTATTGTTTTCCCATGAACCTATGAAGCAGACTAATATGACAGTAACAGATACAAAATTAACCAAATCTCAGGTGCAAAGGCTGTCTATAGCTGGAATACACAGTATTATGCTACATTCATACATGGATTAGCATTGTCTGCTATGAGCTACCAGTTAACTTTGGCTAAACCTACTACATGAGAATACAGCTGGTATAAAAACATATTCACAATAGTACAGGTGAGCTTCAGTGTAAACCCATACCTGAAAAGGGGGATAATTGAATAAAAGAGCCATGGACATGTTTTTCCTCCAGTGAGGACGAAGTTCTGGTGCTCTTTATTACTGATCACTAGCGCTGCACTTCCCCCGCTGGTTGCACGTGGTTACTACATATACTAAATCACACATTTACATACATTAACCCAAACTGCTGGCAAACACATTGTAAATGTAAACTATAATATTCAAATCTGTAACGCACACAATATGCAGCTATAGCCAGGAATGGTAAATTTTCCTAACGTACATACAAACACATTTCTGTCCACCACAAACACGCTTGAAACAAACCGAACTTTAGTAAAACAGAAAGGAGGTCAGAGAAGGCGTGTTCTGTAGTCTTCAATGGCGACTTAGCACAACAGAAATGTGGCATATGACAAGGTTTACAGGAACGCAGAGGAACAGCTCTGAGAGGACGCCTCGAGTCTCCTGCTTCCTGTCTCAGCCTGACAGGAAGTCTTTCTGAACAAACCGTCACAGTGCAACACCCAGAGGTGTTCTACAACGTGCTACGCTGATATCTTCACAGCGCTTGTGCGAGCTCCAGTAGCTGTCTAACATGCGGGGACTGTTAAAATTGACTGAGTAGTCAGAAATATGCTTATGCGACATATATTACTGTGGTGATTTCTTGCGGTTTGCGGTGCAGTGGGCTAAACGTGTTCTTTTCCTCCACAGCTGGCATCCAATAACTCGGACAACAGCAGCCAGACGACTGCAGCTGACAACAAAGGTATGATTTCATTCAAAGACCTAAACTGAAAAGAGACTTATTCTATTGTAATTGCCGTTTCCTCCCCTTTCGGATCTCGGGGCACTGGTGGGTCTTTGCTCGCAGCATGGGATGAATTGTTGGCGCAAGAGACACAAAAAGGTCAAGATGGATTTATGTCAGCTCTTCAACTTTGCTCTCAGTCGCATAAAAGCTTCCATTATGATGTCAAATGGCATATTTAAAATATAACTCAAGCTCTCTATATGGCGTCTATAATTTTCAAGCAAGAATGAAGAAGAATGTATAAAAGATTTGATAGTTTAATGGTTAGAATTATTAGGGTTATTTTGCTACATGTGTAGTTGCTGTAAAAAGTTATGACTGATTTCGTGATTAAATAAGTTCTGGTCTGACTTTAACTATTAAAGTATAATATGGTTTGAAAAAGTGTCTGTTTAAAAACCAGAAGAGGTTTCCGTCGTGCTGTTCCGGCTGTTTGACTTCATTTTAATGAGATGCTACAGAGAGCGCCAGAGTGATGACAGTTTTCTCTGGTCAAATAGGAAACATCTGACCAGAGATGTTGCAGGCACAAAAAAATATATTTTATCTGCATGCATCTTGTCTGTTTACACCCATTGGGACACAAACAAGGATCTGAGTCTGAGACCATGGCATCTTTCCAATTGAGTCATTGCCGTTTTAGTCGACACAGACTTTAAATTTAGTCTCACGACTTGACACTAAGGTGAGTTTCAACCTCCAGCTTTATAAAATATTTATAGCTGAAGCTGATTTTAAAGTTCTGAGGACATAAAAGTCATTATCACTGATTTTAAACAGAGCCTTGTACTAGCTATAAAAATTAGTAATAAAAATTATTACAATAGTAATAATAATTACTGATTGTTTTTTACACAAAAATTTAAAATAAAAATGTCAAACATAATCCAATTGCCATCTTTCTAAAAGATATCGCAGCAAAAATCTTTTATACCAAAACCTTGTTAGTTTTTTTGTGTTTATGTCAGCTTCTTGTTTGTGATGCATACAAAATAAGATAAAGCATAGACACCTGCTAAATGTCAAAGTAGCTGTCAGGTGCTTTTTGCTCTATATAGAAAACACAGCTCACTTTGGCACTTTGAGTGCCAAAAATCTCAATATTATCTGGTACAGGCTTACTTGTCATTTTTAAAGTTTTCAGGGAACTGGTCTTTTTTTTTCTTAAGATATGAAATGTTTTATACATTCAAATTTTCAATCCAAAAACAAAATCTGCACTGGCCTAATAAGATGCTGATTGGTGCATATCTTCAAACAGCTGCAAGGCTGCAACAGAATTTAAGATAATGAATGACAAGCAAAGCAAAAGCTGTACCAGTTCTTCACTAGAATGCTCCAGAGCTCTGGTAGTAGCAGAAATAAATGTCCAATCTGTGCAGCACTAATTCAAACTGTCCACCGGTACATTGCTCCCGCCATCAAACAAACAACTTTCAGAAACTTTGAAAACCTGTCAGCGATGTCGGAAAAGTGCCCCATAGGCGTATTTGTAAATGCTTTTCTGCAACCTACTCTCCAAATCTTTTTTCCTTTTATATTACCCCGATCACCCCGTTTGACCTTCAATAACACCAAAGTGCTTACAGCGTGTTCAACCAAAGGATCAAACTCCTGTTTTTCCATGAGCTAAGCAGCTAAGCAGCGTTTTGGCAGGAATCAGCTGTGCACTCGCCAGGAGAAGTTTGGCAATGTGTAGCGTCGCTCATCAATAAGCAATTCCAGGATGGGGAAACTTTCCATCTATCGATGCAGAACCAACATATGCCACAGTGATGGACTTTAATGAGACCATCCTTGACTCTTCGTTTGTTTGTGCCAGGTTGGTTGCAGAATACAGAACATTAAAAGTTTTGCCAGGCTGAGTCCATCAGTGGAAAGTCTCATTTTTCTTTCTTGCTGAAAATGAAGAGTGAATTAGAATCTCCATCTGTAAGGCAAGGTGCACCTGGAGAACATTGCTGCAGTGCTTAGCAGCTACTAGACGTACAGTTTGTGTGTACAGGGGCTGTACAGTAGTGGTAGGACTATTTATAGTATTCTGAGTCATTGTTTTTTGCTGTGTGCAGGTGAAAGTTTAATCCTCTCTAAAATCTCTGTTTTCATGCCGCAACAAAATCCAACCAAAATCTTTTTATTGTTATTGAGGCTTCGACTAAATTTTGCTGTTTTTGTAGGATCTTCTATAAGAAGACAGCAAAGATCACATTTTTGTCATAAAATTACTACTTCATTCTTCTAATATTATTACTTTATTCTGGTAATAGTATTAGTTTATTATAGGGTTTTTTTTAACTTTGTAACATTACGTTTCTCATATTTTTATTTTTATTCTTATAATATGAGTGTCATACGACTTCTTGTATAATTTTGACTTTATTCTTGTAATATGACTATTCTCATTTTTATGACTTTCTTGTGTCATTGCAACTTTATTCTCAATTGGACTTTTCGCTGTACGACTTCTCATATTTGAAGCTTACACATTTGAATGTGTTGTTCAATTGGACCCAGAATATTAATAACTTAATCCTCATCATAGTCATAGTTGCTGTGTTCTTCCCGCAGAATAATAACATTTGACACGTTAGGTCGTATTTGAAAAGAATCCGACTTGTTGTTCAAACTGTCATAAAAAGATCAGATACAGGTCGCATTACGTCACAAAAATCAGAATTGAGTCACTTCAGGCTGCAGTGTGAACGCAGCCCAACACAAAACCGTGTCAGAATTTGTTTCAATTTGAATTTGGCTCGTTTTTCGCAAATTACATTAACATGGTTAATCGAAATGCCAACAGAGGTAATGTCCAGCAGGCCGAGATCCAGCCACATGTTTTGATATATATATTGTGGGTACGAGCTGCGTGCACCCTCACAGTGAAAGGAAGCGGCAGTCTTTTTTAGGTGTAGAGTAATTGAGGGGCATTTCAATGCTGTCCTATGCATTGGCCCCAACTAGTCAAAATGTGCTCTGATCAAATGTTTGTCTTTTTGACTTCTGCTTTTCCAGAAAAGGCATCAGGAGCAAAGCCTCAGGAACAAGAGGAGGAGGTCGACATCGACTTGGAGGCACCGGAGACAGAGAAGGCAGCACTCGCCATCCAGAACCAGTTCAGGCGTTTCCAGAAAAAAAAGAAGTAGACTGACTGATTCAAACAAAAACAAAAAAAAAAGAAGAAAAAGAAAAAAAAAAGCTATATTTATTTCAGCTGATGTACAGATATTCAATCAACGACTGCTAGAGGTTTTGGGAGCGATGACGAAAGGATTTCAGTTGTTCAGGATTTATTGTCACATTATGCAAAGTGTCAGGAAATGCCTTTTTGCATGACGGATCAGCTAAACGATGAGGACATTTTCGTAGGGGCAAGAAAGAGGCTTTAAAAAGAGAAAAAAAAAGCAGCAAAATAATTTGGAATTTATAATCTAGCATGACGAAATACTGTAACCTCCCGTCACCTCATTAACCTTTGCAAATGTCCCCACGTATCATCTCCCGCCGCGCATCCGAGCCCTTCTCCCTCCGCGCACACAAAACCCAGCCCAGCACACACAAGCACACACAGTCTGCATAGTAACAAACATCTCCATTATGACTTGACAACAACAAGCACAGTCAGTTAATGAAACGACAACAACGCAATGAAAGAAGGGAAGCACACCCCCCGGTTTCTAGGTTTGTTCTGTTACTCTCTGTCTGCCTCTGTCAGGATAAAAATATCAGCAAGTAACCGTTCTCAGGTGTAAAAAAAAAAAAAAAAATCACCTCTAGAGCCGGCCCGATATTGGATATCCGCTGCATGCCAGTCTGATCTCACAGGTGACGAAGGTGGTGGTCATGGAAACTGGCTGCTAACTCCCTCAGTTGGAGGCAGTTTCCTGCAGGAGGTGCTTAATGAGTGATGGGAAGTTCAATGACTTCAAGTCATTAATCCCACACAGTGCAGCAAATGACTGACACATTAGCGATCAAGCATTCGTGTGTCAACAGCTACTGCAACTTTAAACAGCCTTTCAAAAGCACAGGGTGCTGGTGACACGTTTGGCTCGACAGTTTATTCAATATTTACGCAGGTTTTATCCAGAGGTTTTTAGAAACGATAGCATGTCGGCTGTACTTTGAAAGCTAAATTGTTTTGAGAGAAACGATAGCCTAGGACTGCTTTAGCCATCCCCAGGAGTTTTCTGTGTTTGTAATGTCAACATTTTCATAATGTTACCTAGTTGTTTTTTTGTTTTCTTTTTCAATGGAGGGAAAAAAAATTATCTACAAATATGTAGAGGGGTACAACAAGGCTTGGTGTTAGCCCCCTAACACCTCTAACCTCTTTGGTTACTGTTCATAATGTCCATAATTTCAATAAGTGAAATGTCCTCTTTTGACCAAAACAATATGCTTGCTTTTGAACAGGTTTGGTTTAGTCTTAAAAAACGTGGGCTGTAGTCTTGAAGCTAAATTTCAGGCGCACTGCAGCCAACCTTTCTCCTCTGGTATGCTGGATTTGTGCCGTCAAACTGTTTTAGCAACTTACATTCCATTTTTAGCTAATTAAAGTTTACCAAATATAGACTCATCAATATTGCTCAAAAACATTGCTTTCCCTGGCTGATAAAATGGTAAAACACTATAAACTTCTTTCTCAACCAGCTTGCTAAATACTGTAATTTTAGCTTTATGATTTGGACATTCCTTATCTGAAGAATGCCGACGTGTGTTCGCATGTTATCCAGCATGTAACCTAAAATGTAGACATTTCCTAAAATCATAATAAAGTCTTCTAAATTTCCCTTAGTGTTTGCTTCGGACCCAAGTTTGTGCAAACACTTTGCACTTTTGAGTTTCTAGCATTCAGATTTTCTCGTAGTGATTTTGCCTAAAATTGGGGAAATTTCAAACACCACCTAAAACAAGCTCAACTTTGCGAAACCTTTTATGGGTAACTACAAATTAAAATGAAATCTAACGGAATGTTTGAGAAAGTACTAGGGAATGATTGAGGAATGTAAATTCAATCACAAAACAAAATTTAAAAAGTAACTGGAAGAAAACTAAAAATCCGTTTATTATTGTAGGTTGGTGCATTGATGAGTTGGCCCTCCGTTACTCCTCAAAGACCCAAAACGCTTAAACAAAAATCGCCCACAGAGGAGAACTCTTAACCTCACTTAGTTTCAGGTTACTCGGAGCCACAGCAGGTAACTTAAACCTCTGCATCCTTAAATAAACTCTTGATAATGACAGAGTAGACAGCAGCCATGACCCACAGTCCCGTCACAATAAGGTCAGTCATACTGCAGTGGTTGACCGGAGAGTTAAGGAAACAGAAAACACTACAGCTCTTTTTAGTCTTATTCAAACTTACAGCACAAAAATATAAGCACATTATTCCTACATTGCACATGTACTGTATATACATATAAAACATATATACAATAAATACTCTTCCTGCACCCCTCCAATGTATGTAGCACACTGAACTGCTTCTAAAAGCCACATTTCTCTACACTGCTATAATAATGCTCTTACTAATTAAATGAATTATTATTGGAATCTAACCTCTTTTCTATATTGAGGACAGAAAGTGGCCACACTTCTCCCTCACTATCCCCCTGTTTCACTTTCTACATGAAGACAATTTGTTGGAGACATCATCTGAGTTTGATATCCAGCTCTTTTCTCCTCCACATGGATCTGACCTGGAAATCTTTGCCCTTCTCAGAAAGTACCCAAGGTTGAAGTTATAAACTACATGAACAGAAATGAAGAGAAATTAATTACCTTACCTTCCAAGCACAATAGTTCAGGACGTTGTGACCAGTTGTCGAAGTTTAGCCTCAAAACATGCACTCAAATTTAGACTTTTTTCAGTTTGTAGGTCCGGTCTGAAACTACCCAACAGATATTTGATTAAATTTAAGCTCGGTGAATTTGTTGCTCAATCCCAACAACTTGTCAGTAAGATATAGATATCTCTTCATTTTTCAGCTGCTTTCACGTGTTCTTTGTCAAAGACATCTTTTCCAAGTCTTAGCAGGAAATTTGCTCAGGGTTTCGCACGCAAAACTAAAACTAAAAACTCAAATATTTGTGTAAAATCTCAAAAAGTCGTAATTTTTTTTTACCAGTTATCATAATTTATGTTATTTTTTTTTCCCCAGTCACAATTTTCTGACACATTATTATGATTCACTCATGATCTGTTAGCTCGTCAGTAGACTGAAGGAAACATCTGGAGACGTCGAGAATTAGCTGCTGGCATCACAACAGTTTACTCAGTCACAGACAGACAGAGCTGTCCTAAAAAAATTAGAATAATTTCTTTTGCAAACTACAGAAATATGACCATAAATATCCTATAAAGACATAGCTAAGCTTAGTCCATGATGATCGCTAGTAGGGTTTAGCATTAGAACAATAGGCTAACAGGTTAGCTTAGCCTGATTCTCTTGACAAGAGTCCTACAGATTTTGTTCTGATTGTTTTCCTAATTATTCTGGGCATCCGAAATAAATTACACCACCTATTTCGGCAATAATTATTTAACTTATAACTATAACTCTGATCAGGCCACAACTTAAAGCCCAAAATTAAATAAATTTGATTTCCTTTTGGGGTCAATACGATATTTTTATTTTTATTTATTTTTTTTAGGAAGAGCTAAAAAGAATTTTGAGATTTATATCATGAAGAAGTTCCACACTTGAAGTTCTTGCAGTCAAACCCAAACTTGGCTGGCAGACATGTTCACATCAGCACTACAGAAAAACTCAAATGAAGCAACGTTTACGTGAAACATGTCTGCTCTGTTGTTAACGCAGACATGTTCTGTCACTGTTCAGACTCTCTGTCGGGAGAGGCTGTAAATAGCTACCTGGTAGAATTTAAAGGACCTTAATGTTGCTTGGCAACTGAGTCAGCTGAAGAAGTAACGCCAAGCCGGTCATTTCAATGTGAAATGTGACTTGTGATAAGCCTGCAGAAAGCCGAGCCAGTGAGATCAGCACAGAGAGCCGACCTGCCAGCGAGAGGTTTCCAGTTCAGCTGGAGCTCCACTAGGGGAGAGAGGAGTTTGGATCAAATTCACCATAAGAGAAAAAAATAATAATAAAACATAAAGCCATTAATGTTTCACCTCTTCATTATCGAGTCTGCATGCAGTCAAATCTTAAAGTACAATGAAGTCTATCTACGTCCTACAACAATCAAGCAGAGAATTTTACGTTTTTTCTGCGATATAATAGCCAGTACTCCAATACCTTACTGTGTATTAGACTTATGAATTGTTAATAAGCCATTTGTATGGGTGCACTTTGCTTACTTAGCTACTGTGGTAATCACAAGATAGATGCTCCTGCATTTCAGCATGTTTAAAGTGTAACTATGAGCATTAACAAGATGTTTCAGGTCAGATCTGCCAAGAACTCATATCCATGTTTTTGTTTACAATTTTTTTAAATGTATATCCATTCTAGTGTTTTTTTTTTTTTTTTTTTTTTTTGTTTTTTTTGAATTTTTGCTCCCTTTTTCCCCCCCCGAGGATGTTAGGTCC